AAGTTGTAGGATAATTTAAGGCTGCAAAACAGAAGCAGTAGAAAATAAAATAAAAATAAATCAAATAAAATAGTCTGTAAATAATCTGAATAAATGTTCTATTTCATTGGGAAAAAAGACTTGTGTATCTTTTAAAAATCATTTCTGGAAATTAACATAAATACAAGTGGGAAAAAGAAAGGACAATTAAAGATTGGGAGGATTATATTTAATTCCTTTTTGTGATCTCCCATCACTCATCTTTATTACAAAATGTTAAATCTTTATGCCCTACGATGAAATGAATTCGCTGCATCCCAATCCCTTCCCACCAACGGTGCTTTGTACCAGTATTTTTTGTTACTAGTATGCAACAGAACTAGAGAAGAAAACGGGAGCTCCAACAACTTTGGTCTAGATCCTTACAGTACATCTTCAGGAAAAGATAAAACCCTGTCAAGTGCAAATGCCACTGTTACCCAGTTTTCTTTGAGTACAAAACTATTCAGAGATGAAAGTAAAAACAGCAGTAATAGAACTATATTTATTGAACACTTACCAAATGTTAGAATCCATGCTGTCTTGCTTATCTCATTTAATTCTAAAAATGACCCTGTGAACTAGGCATTATCATCTCCATTTTACAGATAGGGAAATGTATATTTAGGGAAACTAAGGAACTTAACTCAAATCACACAAGTCTTAAGTAATGAGGTTATGACTCAAGTTCCACTCTGCTTTACTTACTCCTGAATCTGTTTCACCAATAATTCTTAAACTACTTCTTAAGAGTAGTTGTTACACTAGTTACTATAATGGTATGGAGACTGTACTCCCCACATACATCCAATTCTACCCCAAATGATTATCAAGTCCTAGTCTCATGCTCATCAATAAAAACTAGTTTAAGAATGGTATGGAGCATAATTCTGGCTAATGAAACATGAAGAATCTTCCAGAAAACTTCTATGCAATGCTTCCTTGCCTCTAAACAGGCATACACAGAAGAAAAATCTCCTTTTATTCCTCTGAACATTTTCCTATCTGTATGCAATGCTAAAGCCAATTTGTAGAGGTGTAAGAATGAAGTCAATTCTATAATGATGACAGAGCAAAACAAAGAGAGAGAAAGAAACTGCATCACTGATCAACCAACCACGAAATCCACCTTACCTCTGTACTTCTTATATGATACAACATTTCCTCACTTGCTAAGCTAGGGGGTTCTCTTTTACATGCACTCAAATAGGTCACACTTTATAAAGATACATTTACTATAAATTATGTTATTAGATTGAA